TTCTACACCCACCTAGCAAGAGCCTTGGGATGGTTCTGATGCCCGCTCCCACAGCCGGCCGCAGACCGCCACACTACCCTGGCCCTCCTCCTCATTCTTTGGGCAAACTGGGGATGCTAGAGAGACAAAAGACAGTGTGGAAAGGCAAACCCTCTCGGGGCTCGTGATCTAGACTCAGCTGGATTGTGTGTCACTTGTGTTACAGGGGTGGGATCATCAAAATCGAAGATTCTAATTCTAGGGACTGTGGGTGTGAAACAGGGAGGGGGTATATACCTGGGGGGGTATGGACCCGTGCTCATTCTCCACCTGGCTGTGTGAGATAGGATAAAGCATGTAACCTCTCTGAACTTGGCTTGTCATGTGTCCTTTAAAAGATATGACAGACTTCTCTGGCCCCCTTCCTAGCTCTTCAGTGTAACAGCTGTGTCCTGTTCTCTTAGCACAATGACATGATAGAAAATTAAAGTAGGGTGGGTGGGGTGAAGCTACCTATGATCATATAACGCTGGACAATCTGTAAAATCACACACATGAAAATGCATTGGGATGTACATTGGCATACATTGGATAGTATCATCACATATTTTATACATAGTGTGTGAACAAGTGTAAATGCAATTTCATTAATTTAAATGTTTACTAAACTGGGAGTTTTTCTTCCTTTCACTTTTTACAATGCTAAACAGGGAATGTTGGGCAGTGTGTTCTCTCACTGAGATAGATTCCCTAGTGCTTTGTAATATTTGGATAATATGCAGTGTTAGACGGTATTTCTCAACATTGAGCTAGCTGAAAGATGGCTGATTTGCTGGACACGAGGCCTGTCTGGCTACTTGCAAGACAGTTCAAGGAAGGGTCACTGCTGCCCTCAGTGCCATTACTTTAAAATCCTAGCAACCCTGGAAGTTAGCACCGACTGTGACACAAGGAAGGTGAGCTGTTCACTACACATCGCTTCCTTGTCCCCGTCATAAAACTGCGGCTAGTCAAAGAAAGGAGAAGGCTTTTATACCCAGACCTTGTAGCTAGCATGGAGTTGACTGAAAGATAATTTCTGAAACGTAGATGTCATTTTAAAGGTGAATGTATAAAATTCACCAGGAGAACCACAATTTACAAACACACACACATATACACACACACACACAGAGGAAGAGAGAGACAGAGAGAGACAGAGAGAGACAGAGAGAGACAGAGAGAGAGAGAGAGAGAGAGAGAGAGAGAGAGAGAGAGAGAGAGAGAGAGAGAGAGAGAGAGAATTTTCAGTGTTGTCATTTTACATAGACTTCCCTATCTGATGACCGGTGACAGGATCTTACGTATACGCCATGAAATCCACAAGAACGCTGGTACACTCCTATCAGAACCACGCTCTAATGGGTTGATGGGCTAATCAAAGGGTTCCAGGAAACGGTGGTAATTCCACCTTGTTGCCTTTGGTAGAGGATCGGGTGGCGTCTTCCAGTTGCAGCCACAGACCACAGTGGTGCCCTGGGAAAGGCAGCTGAGGCTCATGGAACTGTGCATGCTCATCCCACTCAGCCTTAACAGAAGGGAGGTGACAGCTGGCTTCATTGTGTGCCATAAAATGTGGTAGCATTGAGGCGTGCCCTGGTGTCGGGAGCTGCCTCAGGGAACTGCAGAGATCTGTTTAGGATGAAACAGGCGCCACCGAATGGCGTCCGTTTACTTCATTATGCGTTGCTTTTTCCATTTTTTTTTGTTGTTGTTTTCTATGACTCTGCATGTATAATGCCATTTTGAGGAGAATGTTCTACCCAGAAATGTAAAGATATTAGCAGAAGATTTGTGGGTGCCTTCCAGCTCTGTGTGCGTGTCCGTAAGTTGCAGCCATCCGTGGTCTGAGGTAGCCACTGCTTAAAACCCGCTCTGCAGACCTTCGCAATCGACTGCCCCATGAACTCAAAAGTCCAGGCTACCGGCACGCGTGGGCTTAGGCCTGCACAGTCCTACAGTGGTTTGGTCCAGTATTGAATTCCCCGTTACCCTCCAGGGCCCAGTAATCAGTAAGAGTGGAGAGGAGGTTTCATAGCAGTCATTTTACGTGCTTCTGCATTTAAAATTCAGGGGGCAAACTGACATTTTAATAGCATGCAGGTCCAAGAAAGTGGAGATACAAAGCATTCTCTCTCCCCTAGCCTGAAAGTTTCTACCGGAAGCTCCTATAGTCCACGGAAATACTGCTGCTTGGCACGCACGGCCTGACGGTTTCAGGAGAGAATAGGTGCTCCTGGCCCTCTGGATTCTAAATGCATCAGGACCACACCTCAGACTTGATAATGCCTTTCGATTCACGAGTGCCCTGGTGTCGTAACTCTCTAACACCCTGTGAACATGGGGGTCAAGTTTCCTCACAGGCAGCAGCTCTCTGACAGACTCCCAGAATGCACATGAGAAGAGTGTGGCATGAACTATTCCCCAACCCCAAGCATTAAGCCCAGCCCGAGACTCTCGGGGGCTTAGGCTCCAGAGCTACGCCGGAGCATTCCTGCCAGAGCAGACAGTCATCAGTTAATCTCTGTAAATGACTGCAATTTTGGCAGGTGTCAGCTTGGATGAAAACAGCTCACATATTAGGACTTTCTTTTTTTTTTAAACCATCCAGTAGTGAGGGGAGAGAAGTAAAAAATAAATAATGTCACATGCTTTGGCCCCAAAGTGGCTTGCCCCAAATGGCTTAACTCCTGTCTGGGTTCTCGGTGACCATGTCCCCAAGTTTTACGGGGCAGGTACTCCGATAGCCACACACACACACACACACACACACACACACACACACACACACGCACGCACGCACGCACACACACGCACGCACACACACGCACACTGTCCTTCACAGTGTTCTTCAAAAACCTGCCACTGGGTGCCTTCGCCTCAGGAATGTGAAGCTGAAACACGGACAAACCCTGCTGGCAGTCCTTGTTGGCCCACATTCCTTCTCAGGCCACACAGCTCTCCAGAGCCATGTCTCTGCCATCCTCTGCCCTTGACTGGCTGAGGCCGTGGTGGGCACTTAAAAGGGACCGCGTCACGCTTTCAATGACTTTAGAGCTGGATTGTTTTTCTGTGGGAAAGCTCGAGGGTTCGTAGTGTGGCGAGGAGCTGGGGGTCAGGGGGAGACGGGCATGACTCTGTCGCACGGTAAGGGGAGGGAAGGGCCAAAGAAGGCCGCACACCAAATTACACGTGCCGTGGCTGACTGGAGCAGAAGGTTCTAGAAAAACAAGTCTTTGTGCTTCTGCTGGTGAAAGCATGAAGGAGGAGGCTCGGGGACTTGGCCTCTCTTGTCCATAGACCTCGAGATACTCAGGCTCTGAGAGGCCTCTCACAAGGGTGCCGGCTGAGCCCGCGTGACTCGGGGTGTTCGTGCTTGAGTTGAGTGTCGTGAGCTGCAGCTCTGAAGGACAGGCCAGATTTGCCTTGGTGATACGTGGAAAGAGGGAACATTGCGTGTGAACTACACAAATATTATGCTGAAGCCCTTTTCTCCCTCCCCCCCCTGCATTTGGAGCCAAACAGGTCTTGTTAGTGATAAAAATCACCGCAATATAGTAGGCCCTTTTTCTGGCCTGGAACTTGAGACAGTGTCAGCGGTGCCAAGGGGGCCCGTGGCAGGAAGAGACAGCAAGCCACGGGGATTTGAGACCGTAACACAGCTTCTACAACTGGATTTTATAATTGTAGCAATTGGGAACTGGGGGCCGGGGGTGAGTGGGTGACCACTCATAGCCTTGCTCCTACCCTGTGCTGGGGGAATGGCATCTAGGGCCCCTCTGCCTAGCTTCAGGCTGGGATGGGGTACGGAAGCAGCATTTTCTATGGGCAGAAGCCAGGGTCTTCTGTCTTCTTTTGGGGCTGCCTGACCACTGGCGGGAGAGTTGTGGCTCGGTCAAGGGTTCTAGTCAAACAAACCTTAAGGGTGAGCTGGTCTCTTTAAAAGATGAATGGATCTCCCGAGTCCTCTGTGACTGCATTCCTATGTGGGAGGCTGGACTCTGCTACCCTCTCTAGTTTCATGACAATTTGGAAGGGATGATGAGGAGAACCTGGAGGCCCAGCTCTCCTGGCTGGACCATGTGAGCGCCCCTGCTGGCTATTTCCCAGTAAAATGGACATCTACTGACCATGCAGACATCTCTCAGCCTCACTTTGACTCCTCAGTCCCTGGGGAAGTGTAGCAGCCAACTGGCCGAGCCCCTCTGTCTGGGCTCCCAGGGGCCTGGCCTGCTAGGAATATTAGAACAGGCTTAGGCTGTGCCTTCCTGCCTATTCCCTCCTTGGGGTATGTACAGGGAGCAGCTTCAGAGAAGAAAGGGCGCTCCCGAGGAGCCTGTGTGAAGGAGGAAGGGGCCTGGGTGTGTAGGGCCTGACAGGGCTGCCCTGTGCCCGCCTTGGTGTTAGAGGAAGCATCACCCCTACGTGGTAGGTTTGCAGCTGCACCCGATTTCCTGTTCAAGGGGCATGCCGCTGAGTTCCAGGGCCCACTCTGGTCCCTCTCGGATTAGCTTCTGGTCAGGTTTGGGAAAAGTCCGGGCATTCGTGACCCCAGGGGAGGCCACCCTCCTTGGCTGCCATGGTTCAGCTCTTAGCCTGTGGCCAACAAGCAATGGCTCCTTTCTTTCCCAGGCCACCGTCACCCGCTCCACTCCCTAGTATCTGTCTTCCTGCGCACCCGAGCTGTGTGCAGAGAGCTGGGTGTATGTATACCGAGTCCCAGTCTAGGGGAACACCCGGTGACCAGTGCGATGAGGGAGCCTCAGGCTGCTACGGAAAGAATGGCCCCGGTCCCACAGGTCTCCAGCCCAAGGGGCAATTTCCGATAAGCTCACCTTGGGGGCGAAGGGAGAGGGAGGGGAAAGATAAGAAAAGCCCCCTCCACAATGCGTTTTCTGATCTCTTCCCTCCCTCCCTCCCTCCCTCCTTCCCTGCCTCCCTCTCCTCCTCCTCCTCCCTTCCCCTCCCGGTCCCTACAATAGGACATCGGCAGAAACTAGATGAGACCAAGCCGGGGAGTTTGTCCTTTTCCGAGCGGCTCAGTGAACTGGAGCAGCTGAGGCGCACGGCCATGAGGGTCAGCCCGCACCACCCAGCCCCCACGCCCAACCCTCGGGCCTCCTTGAACCACTCCACTGCCTTTAACCCTCAGCCACAGAGTCAGATGCAGGGTAAGTACCCCACGGGGCCCACCGCCCTATGTCCTTGTGAGAGTCCCAGGCACAGAGCCCACCCAGGCTGCCAGGGCTCCCCCGGGTGCTCTACGGGAGCTCCGGGAAGCCAGGGTACCCACCGGGAGCCCATTAGACAAGCAGAGACTCGGTGTTTCACCTGTTGAGGATCTCTAGAATCAGAAGCGTGGCTGCTGAGGCGTGGTTGTGCACACACATGCAAGTGAGTATCCGCGTGTAACCCTTGGTAACCGTGGAGTATCAGTTCCAGGTACCCACATCCAAGGTGCCCCGGCCCCTTATATGCTGTGTCCTAGTACATAAGCCTGTGCATACCCTCCTGGAGGCTCTAGTTAATTCCTCACTGCTGCTAGCATCTAGAACACTATACATGCTATGTTAATAATCACTAAACTATATTATTTAGGGATTCATAACAAAAATACATTTTCGGTCTGTGTACATTTTAAAAAACTGTATAGTCAGTCCACCGTTGGTTCGATCTTTTGCTGTAGAGCCTGCAGATACAACGAGCTACCTGTATATAAACAGATGAGGGTTTTTTTAAAGAGTTAGTTTCTACTATGTTGTTTTCTTACCTACCAATTAGTCCTGTAGCCATATACACAATTTTATGTGTGTACATACGTATATATGTATAAACGCACATATACACATCTAAGAAGGTAAAGGTAAGGAGTTTTCAAGTTCTTGTTGCCTTCAGATTATGTGTGGAGTTTGCATCTACAATATTTGATCTTTTTCAAAACATAAAGAAAGAGGAGGACGTGCGTGTTTGGGGCCGTACCGAGCAGAGTATTTTCACATCAGGACTGAGTTCCGTTCCCTCTGTGGGGCAGTCATCGACTGCAAAAGCGCTGGGAGGTACAATAACAAACTGCACAGACCCTCTGTGCCCAGTGAGATATACTCACAGCTTCCTCGCAGTAGGTCCGCTAATGTCCTAGGCTGCTGGCTCAGTGATACCATTGTGATAACTAGAAGACAGTTTCTCTCTGTGCCAGGTGGGACACAGTTGCGTATGACACACTTACAGTCACACTCCCTCTGCAGAGGTGCAGGCTTGTTCAACCCAAGCAATCAGCCCATCTGGAGAAAGGGGCCGAGGGCTGGCACCAGGATGACCTTTTACAGAAAGCGAAGATTAGCTCCCTCTGTGCTCAGCATGGGACATCGCAGGCAGTATCTATTTAGAGGTTTCTGCGTAAATTGCTCTCTTTGGAAAGAAACACACAAGCTCACACTGTTCAGAGTGTGAAATAGAAAACCTGTGTCGCCAAGCATGGTTGTACAGGCTGGCTCTCACAGAACTTGGGAGGTGTGGGCAGCAGGGTGAAGAGTCCAAGGCCAGCCTTGGCTACTTAGTGAGTCTGAGACCAGCTTGAGGCATGTGAGACCCTGTCAGCACCAGTGGGCACCTCTCTTCTGTTCGAATGGACAAAAAAAATTAGGTTATCTTTTCGGGTGTTTAGGAAAAGGCCCCTCAAAATCCCTGGTTTCTTGGTGTTAAGTAGTAATGACTAGTCACTGAAAATATTCACACTAACTAACTTCCCAACAAGCCCACAATGCCATTCTGTGGTGAATTGGGAGAAAGGACGCGTTAGTGAGATAGGTGTTCTTGGGGATGAGGAGAATAAAGTTGCCTGGGAGGTTCTTCTGACTCGAGTTGGCCATCATTTAGGCTCACGCCTGTCTTCTCTGGGAGTACAAAAGTGTGCAGACTCAGGGAGAAGGCTCTGCTCTCTCAAGTCTCTGGTGGCTGCACCCACTAAGTTTGAGCTGGGAGTGAGATTTGCCTTTTGCTTGCTGAAAGCCAAACCCAAGCTAGAAAGGGGTTTTTAAGCCAATGCAAAGCCCAGTCGTGTGGGAGCAAATTCAAATTGTCCCCTCTGTCTACTCTGTGAACCTCTTCTGATTTCACTTGGCGTCTTACGTGCCCATTCCCCAGAGAAAGTAGGGATTGGCCGATGACGGACGCCCCGCATCCTGAGCCTTTGGGACCGCCCACTCGAGCACTGGAGGCATCGCCAGGTGGTGGGAGTCGCTGGCTCTCTGCGGCATAACTTGACCTCAGAGTGTTCTAGGGGCTTGATTGACACTCTCAAAAGATGTGTGGCTGTACTCTGTACTGTGGATGCCTTTTCTCTCCGGTATATGAATCTGATATGCAGGGATTTGCTTGCCTGGAGGCAGATGCGCAGTTTCAGAACTGTGTTCAGGACATGGCCTTCACTTTCCTGGGTCCTCTCCACAACATAAGCCCCTCCCCCCAGCCTTCTGTTTCTCTCCCCTTTCCTTCCTCCTTCCCCTTCCTCTCCTCTCTCTCTTTTTTTTTTCCTATAAGAAAATGCTATTTTATACAAGTCTCGTTTTGAGTAGACCCTTGACTGCTCCCCCTGCCCCCTTGAAATTCAAATATTAACAGGGATAGTGTAGCAGCCAAGTCCCCTACTTTGCTCCCGGCATCAAAGGCAGTTAACGTCCAGGCTTAGCCCTACACTACCTATGTCTACTTAAGCATAGGTTCATGGTTCTCTGAAATGACAATCGCAGTTTTAAGAAAATGACCCCAGAAGTGATCAGGGCAGGATCTCCTCAGTGACTTCCAGGGATCTATGGAGAGGCAGGGTTTGCCAGGCTAGAGTCCCCACCCCACCCCCACCCTGCCAGCAGAGGATCATGGGTATGAGATATCACCTTTCCCTATCCTACCGAATAGACATCTCCAATGATCCGCAATGGGTTTCGGATGGAGAGGGGGGGCAGGTTGCCATGCCACCAAACCACTGTTTATTTGTTGTGGTTTTAATTTTAAAAGAGCTGAGGTTCATTTCAACGTCCTATTAGAGCAGGTCTAAAAGTGGAACAGAGAGCCATTTTGTCGTGCCTGCGTGTTTACACAAGTCAGGACACTGTCATTGATGTCCCCTGCCAGGTTTCAGGCCTTTCCTCCGTTCCTTTTACAGCAGGGGGATGGGACAGGCTACAGAGTTCTGGAGTGACGATGCCTGACCCCTCAGACCTCCCTCTCAGGAATGGCTCTGGGCAAGCCAGGCTGAGCCATCCAAAGCGTTGGATTCTGGTTTACCAAGGAACCATCATGAAGGTGGCATGGCTTCCACCTTTCTGGGGAGATGAGGATACCGTGTAAAAATACCAATGCAGAAACCCTAGGGACCACATTAAGTTAGCCGGCCAACATGCTAAGCCTCTTGCTATAAAACTTAACTTTCCTTGGATTCACTGCGAAGTATTTGGGCCTAGCTCAGACTTCCCTGCCTATGCTGTTCTTTCCCCTAGGCAGTCCCGTGATGTGGTTTATAGACAGAAACACAGAACTCTCCACTCAGAGGCTAAACATTTCCGGCCACTGCCAGCTTCGTAAGTGATGGACTCAAATTCAGACTGTACAGGTAGTGAGATGTCTCTGTCAATCCTAATGTTTATGTATTATCCTTCTGTGGTCTTTGATGAAGTTGAAGGCAGATAGTTGAAGTTATAGCTTTCCTTAGTTATGATAAAAGATAAGTTACACATAAGACTTTAGACTCACAAAGATAGGATAGATGATATCTTCTTTAAATCTTACTAAATGTTAATGGACTAAATATTGTAACTATAGTTCTTACTTGAAAATTGTTCTGTTACATATAATTTGACTACGTTAAAGTTAAAACCTTTCTTTTTGTTTAGACAGAAAAGAGGAGATAATGGGGAAGTCCTGTGTATATGTCAATAAAGCACTGTTGGCCAATAGGGAAGCAAGATAGGTGGGACTAGGAGTCGAGGAGGATTCTGGGAAAGAGACACACAGGCAGACACGATGTAGGCCGCCAGAGTAAGAGGTCCGGACCCTTTTCTCCGGTAAGAGAAATACTTAGATTAACTATTATGGGTTAAATACTTAAGTCAGAGCTAGCTAGTAAGAAACAAGCAAGCAGCCAACAGCTTCATAATTAATACAGCATCCTGTGTGTTATTTGGGGACTGCAGCTGTGGCAGGGCCCAGGCGGCTGGCGGGGAAGGCAACACGCTACATCAGACCTCTCTGAAGGTGTATACAGCAAGGAAGTGTGGAGTAAGGTGTTGATGAAGGAAGTGCCTGTGTCCCCTTTGGAGGACTGACATGCCCACCACAGGACTGACAAGCGCTCAGAGGCACAGGAGACCCGGACTGAATGTGTCCCGTTGTGATTAGGTGGTGGTGCTGGTGTTGATGATGATAACATCAGGCCCTGTGTTGGGTACCTCCCTAAGTCATCTTTGGGGGTATTTAATCTTTAAAACATGGGGAGAAAAGGAAGCCAGTTAGAATACTGAACATCTGAGCATGCCCTATAGGGGAATGTGTGGGTAGGGGCTGGCCTTGCCATACTCTCCATCTGGGCCTCTCATCTCTTGAACGTGAGGTGGCTAACACAAGCTGCCACCTTAGGGACAGGCACAGGTGCAGCACCGTGGTCCCTAACACAGTGCGGTGTGCATGACCTCGATGCGTTATGTATTGACCTTGCCCCCAAATACTTAATCAGAGAGTCACTTACCACTTAAGCTGACACCACTTTTGTAATCCAAAACCACAGTTTTCTAGGACCTGGTTTTCCAAACGGCTTCATGACTGTTGCTCAGAGGGGTCACCCTTATTCTAAAGCTCCTGTTAGTCCCCTGTGGACACTTTTTTCTGATTACAAGGGAAAATAATTTGCTGTGGGTCTTGGTCTCAACGATCAAATGTTCTTTCTCTGGGCTGCTGAGGTTTTGAAGTTCTCCCTGACGCTAATGCAGCTGGAGGCTGCGCACGGGTGCATTAAATGGTGTCCTTGGGACTTTACAAAGTGGTCGCCTGTGCACTTCATAGTGATGTCAAATAGCAGAGGCACAGGCTGGCGGCCACTGAGGAGGAACAAGGCCACAGGCTGGCCACAACCTGGCCCCTGACTGGCCACAGGCTGGCACAACCTGATGACTGCATACAT